CATTGACTACTCCCACTCCTTTTATTCTATTCTATTATAACTTGAAAATTATTATTTACAAACGTCGATGGATATTTTTTTCTTCTTCCGCCACCGCCTACTCGTATAAAATCCACGATCGTTCTAAGAGGTTTCCCTTAGTTCTTTATATTTCCTTTTTTCTTGCAACAAAGATTTGGAGGAAAAAATCGATTCGATGGTGAGAAAATGGCGGCGTGAGATGGTTTCTTTTTATATATTTAAAATCTAGAAAGCGGGGATTTCTATGACGTCATGAACGAAAAAAAAAAAAAAATTCGTTATTTTTATCAGGTTATTATTATTATTATTTAGTTAAAAAAATATGGCGGAGTCTCGTGTCAGCCACCCAAGAAGAAGATGAAGCGCGGTTGATTGACTGACCACCTTTTAAAAAAAAAAAACGTGCGTGAGTGCGTGAGTGCGGTTTTATTTTTACTAAAATCATCATCATCATCATTATCATCATCATTTAAAATTTTACGTCATTTATTTATTTAATAATTCTTTCGGTTTTCTTTTCGATAATAATAATAATAATAATTGTAATAACGTGACGTCGTCGTTTTAATAAAATTAAAAACGTGTTAATAGCACGCGTATGTACATTTTAGAAATAATAATAATAATTAGTTAATTAATTAATTAATAAAAAAGGAAAAAAAAAGTTTTTTTTTATTATTTTGCAGAGAAAAAAAGGAAATGAGGAAAAAAAAACGAGAACAACAGTTGGCAGTCGTGAAAGTTTGGAAAAAAAAAGACTTGTTGCCTCGAAAAACTGTTCACGTTTTTTTCTAAAAAAAAAAAAAAAAATCGTATTATATTTTATAACGACAATTATTATTATTATTATTTTATAAAAAAAAGGTTAAATGAAAATTAAACCTTGGCACGAACCTTATTCTTTCATCGTCGTACCTTTGAATTGACGTAAAAAAAAAATGGAAATTTTTTCGTTTAAAAAAAATTTATTTTTTGACAAAAAGGAATTTTTTTTTTTCGATTTCATTTGTTTACAAAGGAAATTTTTTCGAATTCGAATTTGAATTCGAGAAAAAATTTCAACGATTTGCTTTTGGTTAAAATCAGGAGAAGTCATTTGTTTGTTTGTTTGTTTGTTTAATAAAAAAAAAAAACTATTTTTACATTTTATGTTTTTTTTGCTTCGGTTCAGTTTTTTTTTTTTTTTTCTATTTAACAGTTTCTAAAACGTTTTTCGATTTACATCGTTTACACATTTTGGTCGGTTTGGTTTTTGTTTGGTTAAAAAAAAAAAAAATTTTCTTTTCTGCGAGATGAATTAATAATAATAATAATGATAAAAACGTGACTCAATATGTGAATCTTTACTTTTTCGTTTTTTGTAATTTATTATATGGAGTTTACGAGTTTTTTTGTTTTTTTTACGTTATCGATTTTTTCTTATCATCTTTATCTATAAACATCTAAAATTAAAAAAAAAAAATTATTATTATTATTATTATTATTATTATAAGACTGAGAAAAGCGAAAAACTAGGAAAAGCTAAAAACCCGAATCGAAAAAATGGACTAAAATAAAAACGCGTGCGAAATAAAATTCAAATCTTAAGAATAGAACTATTATTATTATTATCATCAGCACGATTAACGATTCGACGATGATTCCGAAGAAACGGTTTCCCGAGGGACGAGGCATAAACCTGGAATAAATAAATGTAATTTGCAAAATGAAGAAGAAGAAAAAAAAATGATGATGATAATGAAAATCCGCCGCCATATTGGTTTTTTTTTTTTTTGGGGGGGTGAAAATTTTTTGTGGTTACGTAAAACCAAGCGACAATTTTTCAATTTTCTTTACTTTTTTTTTTGTGGAAAATTTTTACCCTTCGTTTCCCCCCGCACGCCCTCCCCCATCAACCCTTTCCCCTCCCTCACGCGTTTCGGCCGCCCACGTTCGCTTCATTCTTTCGTGAAAAAAAAAAAAAAAAGAAAAAAACCTTTTTAAAATTAATTATTTTCTAACCGAAGTTAAATTACGAATTAGAATTAGTTTTCAGTCAAAAATAAAGGAATGAAAAAGGAAGGAAAATAAAAGGAATGACAAAGGAAAGAACGCATAAAGAACGCATGTGCTTTTTCATTTACCGACAGCAAAAAAAAAGTAAAAAAAAAAAAAAATGATTGTTACGTACGCGTAGAGAAGAGAAAAGAAAGGAAAAAAGGAAAGGAATAAAGAAAGGGGGAAGAGGAGGAGGAGGAGAGAAGGAAAGAGAGGTGAAAAGTTGGGTCAAGGACGTATTCGACCTTTGAGAAAGGGGGAGGAAATAAAAAAAAAACGTGTTAAACGTAGAGAAAGAAAGAAAGAGAGGGAGGGAGGGAGGGAAAAATTGTAGGGGAAAAATTCGAGGGAAGGGAAAAAGTGCAGGGAAAAAAGTAGCCAAAGGATAATAAAAAAAAATTAAATTCATTGAAAAAAAAAATGTTTTTTTTTTTCAAAGGTTTTTTCTCCTTTTTTTTTTCATTTTTTCATTTATTTTCTCCTATGATGACGATTATTTCAATTTCCTTTGTTCCTTTTCTTTTGTTTTCTTCCTTTCTTTTCATTCCTTTTTTTTTTTTTTTAAATTCATTTCTCTCATTTATTTTTTCCTTAATAATAATTTTTTTTTTTTTTTTTTTTGAATATTTATTTAATGGATTTTATTTATTTACGCGTTATTAACTTTTTTAAAAAAAAATAGAAAAACGCATCGGGGGGAGGAGGAGGAGGGGGAGGAGAGAAAAGTAAATAAATAAAAGGAAGAAATAATGCGTGTGAGAGGTTGTTGACTTGAGTGTTTTGATGCTTTTTAAAGACACGACTTTTCGTCGTGGTGGTAGCGGTGGTGGTGGTGGTGGTGGTGGCGGCGGTGGTAGTGGTTTTAGAAAAATCCTGGTACCACGGTCACGATTTTTTTTTTCTTTTCCCCGACAAATTTTTTTTGAAATAAAATAAAATAAACACGTGAATTATTTTTCATGGATTTTTCGATCGTTTTATTTATTTTTATTTTTATTTCTTTTTCTTTCTTTCTTTCCTTCTTTCATCCGTTTTATTATATATGTTTTTATTACTTTCTCTCTCTCTCTCTTTCTCTTTCTTTTCTCTCGTAAAAAAATCCTTTTTTTTTCTCCCTTTTCATTCTCTTTCTTTCTTCTTTTCTTTTTTTCTTATTTAAATTCATTCACGTTGAATTATGCGTATTATTATTATTATTATTATTATTATTATTATTTACTTATTTATTATTATTATTATTACTTTTTGTTGTTGTTGTTGTTATGAAATCGATAACTTATTTTATTGGGTAATAAAAAAAAAAAATCCGAGGGAAATTTTTTTTTTTTTTATTTTCGGTCGCGTGATGATGGTCATCACAATTCAAACTTGAATACTTTTGGGTTTTTTATTTATTTATTTTGTCACCGCCTTCTTCGAACAATAAAAACAAAAAAAAAACAAAACAAAAACTTTTTATTATTATTATTATTATTACTTTTCATTTCGCGTAATTAATCGAAAATCTTTCGTTTTTTACTTGCTTCTACTCCGACTTTTGTTAATTCCACGACTCACGATTGTAATAATTTAAATTTTCTCTCTCTCTCTCCCTCTCTCTCCCCCCCTCTCTCTCTCTCTCTCTTTCTCTCTCTCTCTTTCGGAAAAGATTTAAAAGTAAAGAAATAAAAAATTTCTTTATCTTCACGAAAATCTTTTTTTTTTTTTTTCGTTATTTATTCACTCGTGCCACGACGAATAATAAAAAAAAAAAAGAAAAAAAATTCTCTTCTCGATTTCCGGACAATAATAATAATAATATTTATTTATTTTTTTTTTTTAGGTGTTAAAACGGGATGACCGATATCGGGAAAGAGTTCATTGAACCATCCAACGAAATCGTAACCGGAAAAAGATGATGATGATGATGATTATTCTTCTTCTCCACAAAAAAGAAAAAGACAAAAGAAAAGAAAGAAAAAGAAACCGTTAGTCAGGAAAGTGGTTTTAATTCTGATTTTTCTTTTTTTTTATTCTTCTTCCACTTGTTGTTGTTTTTGTAGTTGTTTGGTCGTGTAACTAGTTATTATTATTATTATTATTTTCTTTCTTCTCCTCCTCTTAACTCTTCTTTCGTTTCTCTTTCTCTCTCCCCTTCCCTGATGATGTTCCTTATTTAATTATCCATCCTCCTCTCTCGTTTTTTTTTTCTCTCTCAAAACATTTTGATGGTGGTTTCCTCTTTTTTTAAAAAAAAAAAGTAATTTTCAGTCTCTATTACCTCCGACCTTAATTACGCATGGCAATTTCCCTCGTCGTTTTTTTTTACCGTTTCGCCATTTTGACTTTCACGGTTTTTTTTTTTTTTGTCGTGTCGGAAGATTTCATTTGTGTTTAGTAATTGATGTTGGTTGAATCTTCCAACCGTTTCTTACTTTAACATGTTTTTATCATTTCTTTTTATTATTATTATTATTATTAACATGTGTTTTTTCTTTCTTTCTTTTGATCTATTTTCTTAATTTTTTTTTTTTTATTAACTCTTTTATTCTTCTCTTTCCTTCTCTCATCTATTTCCTTTCATTTTTTTTTTTTTTTTTTAAATCCTTTGTTTTAATTTTTTCTATTGTTTTTTTGTTTTTTTTTTTTGTTTTTCAACAGTTTGTAACGCATGAGAATTTTTTTTTTCTTTATTCGGGTAATAATTTATTTATTTATTAATTATTATTATCGTCATGATTTTTTTATTGTTAGGGGGGAACGAGAGAGGGAGAGGGGGGAAAGAGTTTTACCTGTTGCTTGATTTCCTGCTCCTGCTAAATTCGTTTTAAACGTTGTTTTTTTTTTTTTTTAGGAAATCGGTCTTAATTATTATTATTATTATTATTTATTTTAGAGAAAAATTAAAAAGTCGATTATAGATGAAACCATTTGGAGAATCGGAGAGAGAGAGAGAGAAGAATTTTCGAACCGATTTACCGCCTGAATCATTGCTCGACCAATTTCTTTAATTAAAAAGCTGAGCAAAGTTTCAGGTGTGTCAAACGGTCCGGTTGACAAAGGAAAAAAACGACGTGATGATGATGATGATGATGAAGAAAAAATTACGACGATGACAACGAGGATTTAACATAATGATGATGATGATGATGATGAAAGAAAATGGATTTTAATGGTATATAAATGCCACTGATCGCCTGATCCTTGCTTTACCTATGTTTTTTTTATAATCAAGATGAGCAAAGTTTCAGGTGTGTTTGTGGTCGTTTTTATTTCTCATTATTATTATTATTATTATTATTATACACCTGTAATATAAATCATTTCGAAACAAAAAAAATATGCGTGTGTGTGTGCGTAAGGTAAGGGCAAAGGTAAAAAAAAAAAAAAAAAGGTGAGAAAAAAGGACCATAATTAAAGAGGAGGGAGAGAGAGAGAGAGAGATGGAAAACATAAGAAAGGGTAGGTGATAAAAGGATGTCGTCGTCGTCATTAAAAAGGTTCCACGTCCTTCCGCGACCTTCTCAACTTTAAAAAAAAAAAAAATTTTCTTTTTTTTTCATTTATTCTAATTATAAGATGATGTAATTTACGCATATGTTATACATACGAAATTAGGTTTTTTTAAAAAAAAGAGAAAATTTCAGTAAACAATACTTTTTCCATTTTAATGGATTTTTTTTTGTTTTTTTTTGTTTTTTTTGAAGGGGGAGGTAGGGGGTGGGGAGGGAAGGGGGAGGTCACATTATTTCTCCAGTTATTTTAATTGTTTTTTTTTTTTTTTGAGTTAATAAAAAATATAAAAGGAATAAAAGAAAAAAGAAAAGGAAACAAAGGGAATAAAAAGGAAAAAAAATTATATAAACCCGGTCGAAATGAATTTTCTTTTTTCTTTTTTTTTTTTCAAATATTGGTAAACATGGGAATTTTTTTCTTTTATTCGATGCCATTTGAGATTTTTCCGGAGTTTATTTATTATTATTATTATTATTATTTGCGTTTTCCCATATATAAACTATAATTTTTCTTTTTTTATTCATTTTCTTTTTTTTTTTTGACTAAATAAAATGGTTTTTTTTATTGGGAGTGGGAGGGGAGGGGAGTGGCAAATGGGGGGTACAAAAAACTACATGGGAAAATATTTTCGGGTATATAAAAATTGAATTTTTTAAAAAAAAAGAAAAAAAAATATTTATATGTAAATGTATATTTCAACGACGGATTTTCCAACGGTTTATTTTCTCTCTCTCCCTTTCCTTTCTCCCCTCCTCTCCCCTTTTTTTTCTTCTCCCTCTCTCTCTCGTCGACTTTTTCCCATCGTTTATTTTCTTAAAAAAAACTTTTTATTCCACCTCATATCACATTCGTACGAGAAAAAAAAAAAAAGAAAAAAAAAAACCCGGGAAATTTAAAATTCATATTTGAAAAAAAAATAAAATAAAATTTTCCCTTTAGGGTATGTCAAATTAATCGATAACCAATCAAAAAAATTCTTTTTCAAACTTTTGACTCCTCCCCTTTTTCCCCACCTTCTTTTTTATTATTTAGAGAGAAAAGGGGTGGGAGGTGAGAGGGAGGGAGGGAAGGAGGAAGTTTTTTTATTATTGCTTACGTCATAGTAATAATTTAGAAAATTACGTAGACAAAAAGTTTTTTTTTTATTTTCCACGTCGTTTTTTTTTCAAGCTTTAATGTTACGGTATCGATAAAAAAAGGGAAAAAAAAGGAAAAAAAAGGAAAATTTTTTTTTCATTAACTTAATCACAACGACCCGTGAAAAAGTTTTTTTTTTTTTTTTTTTTTTATGGAAAACCAAAAAAAAAAAAATAATGATAATAATAATGATAACGAGGAAGAAGAATCGTATGAAAAGTTAAAAATGAAAGTCGAACTGACCTGTTTGTTGGAAAAAAGTTCATTTTTATTAAAAAAAAAAAATGAGTGGGAGGAAAAAGGAGGGGGCGCTGAGGAGGAGAGGGAGGAGGGGGATATGACGTGGAATGAAAAGAGCGGAAAATAAAAAAAAAAAAAAAATTGGAATGAGGGATGGGTGAAAAAGGGGAGGAGTTAGAGAAAGAGTGAAAGAGAGAAAGTTAGGAAAAGCGTGCGTGCGTGTGTGTGAGAGTGAGAGAAAGAGAAAAATGAAAAAAGATAGAGTGCGAGATAGAGAATAAATGAGAGAGAGAGAGAGAGAGAATAAGAGCGAGGGAAGGTGGAAAAGTAAAGAAAAAAAAAAATTTTTTTTTTTTTTTTATTAAATGGAAAATTTTTCTTTTTTTTTTTTTATTTTTCGTATTAAGAAAACGTTAGAAGCAGAAGACTTTTTTTTTTACTTCCCCACCCCTCCCGTCCTTTTTCCTCTTACCCCCACCTCCGCTTTTTTTTTTTTTTTTGAAAATTTCATAATACAATTAAAAATTAGTACGATTAATTTAGATTTTTCATGATTTTTTTACGTTTATAATTATTTAATTACCATTTTCCGCCATTTTGAAAAAAAATTTTCTTTTTTTTAATTTTCGTTTCGATTTAATTCTTCTAATTTCACTTCTTCAAAAAAAAAAAAAAAAATTGTTTTTATTTTTGTTTTAACCTTTTTTTTTTTTAAATTAAATTTATTTTCACTAAACGAACACCATATAATAATATTTTTGGTTATTTGAAAAAAAAAAAGGAAAGAAGAGAGAGAGAAAAAGAGAGAAAGAGAGAGAGAGAGAGAGAAAATAAAATTTTTTTTATTTAATGGGATTCCTCACCAGAAAAAAAAAAAAATGAACGATAACATAATGTCTTAACGACTAAATTACCGTCCGCCATTTTTTTTTTTCATTTCATTCAAAGGAAAAATTACGATAACGAGTCGAAAAAGAAAAAAGAAAAAAATTTTCATATTCTAACAAAGAAAAAAAAAATTTTTCTTTTATTTTTTTTTTTCATCTTTTTTTGTGCGACATCATTTTATGTATTTTTTTCATTTTTTCTTTCTTTCTTTAAAGCCTTAAATTAAGGATGTGACGGTAATTTAACAATGAATCGCGCCTAAATAGAAACGGGGAGGGGGAAGAAGGAAGGAAGGGAAGGGAGAAAGGAAATAATAACAAAATACGCGTGAAAATGCGTTTTTTTTTTCTTTTGACTTTTTTCTTTTTATAATGCGACACAAAAAAAAAATAAGTAAATAAATAAATAAATAAAAAAGCAGAAGAAAATAAAGAAAGAAAGAAAGGAAAAGAGAAAAATAAAAATTGAGATGAAAGAAACGCCTAATTGGAATTCATGGAAGTCGAATCAACAGGAGTCTAAATACAATTCTGATGAAATTTTCTCTCTTTTCCCAAAAAAACAATTTATTTGAAAAAAAAAAAAAAAAAAAGGCCAACTGTTGCTCTTCGTACATTCGTTTTCCATCTCTCTTTCGTTCCCTTTTCTATCCCTTTTTATCCATCTCTTCCCCCCTCTCTCTCTCTTTCTCTTTTACTTCCCCTCCAAAGGAAACCTTCATGCGAATTTCCTTTTGCATTTCCTTTCCCTTGCATTCCTATCGCATTCCCGCTCTCCCCCCCCCCTCTCTCTCTCTCTCTCTATCTCCCTTTATCCTTTCACCTCTCTCTCTCTTTTTCATTTCTCCCACTCTTCTCCCTTCCCTCATATTGATTTTGTCGTTGCAAATGGAGAGAAGAAGAAAAAAAAAAAAAATGAAAAAAGAAAAAAAAACGAATGCAGCGCCAATTTTTCCTCTCATTCGCGATGCGGGTAAATAAATAACTAAAATATCGATTTGCGCGCGAATGAGTCTCGTATCGAACACTCGCGACGATTATATTTACATTTTTAACCGATAGATGTCTGTAGTGTTGCGTGACGTCAACGCCATGTTTTGCGGATTCCATTTCGGATTTGCTAATTGCATTTGCCACCATCTTTAATAATTTAAAAATCGTTTTTCATTTTTTTTTTTATTCCCCCCCCTCTTTCTCTTTCTCAAAAAAAAACATTTCGAACAAACCGTTACAAATAATATTATATATTTAAATACAAAAAATTTTATTTATTTTCAATATATATTAATATAAAAATTAATAAATTTTCTCATCTTTTTCTTATGCGAATTATTCCAAATATTCATAATTTTATAATTTTTATTATTCGGTTATAAAAAAAAAAAAAAAACGATTTTTGTCGTCGGAACAATGATGATGTAATTAATTTTTATCATAATATAAAATATTTACGTTAAGAGTTTGCGCAAATTAATCGATTAAAAAAGTAAAAAAAAGATTTGCGCTTGTGTGTAACCGTTAAATCAAAAATAACAATAATAATAATAATAATAGCAAATAAATTTTTCATTGGTTTTTTCATATATAATTATACTACTAATCACATCGTATATTTAAAATATTAATAAAATAATAATACATTTATCGTCCTTTAATAAGTTTACGTACATAAGTTTCTCCTTTTTAAGAATATGAAACCGTTAAATACGAAACTACTACTAAGTATCGTTTTATTTATTTTTTTTCCTTTAAACAGAGTTTTAAATTTTAAAAATAATCTTAAAATAACTCTAATAATAATGATAATAAAAAAGGGAAGGAAATAAAAACTAATTTAATATTTGTTAAAAATATTTATTTTTAAAAAATACTTTTAACCTTTTCTTGTTTTTATTTATTCTCAACAAAAAAAACAACATTTAGTTTGAAATTATTAACGATAATAATAAAAATTATTATTATTATTATTATTATTTAAAGGTTAAAAAGATGGGGGGAAAAAGGTATAATAATAAATGTGTCATAAAAAGATTTTAATTTGTTTTTTTTTTTTAATGAACAATTAACTGAAGAATTATAATAAAATTTCGTATATATATATATGAATACATTTGTTTTTTTTTAAAAGAAATAATCGTTTGAATAAAATTTAAATAAATATTATTATTATTATTATGTCGACAGGTATTTAATAAATACTAACTAAATAATTAATTTTTTTTTTTTTTTTTTTCTTTTCAAATCATAAATTTTATATATAAAACTTTTAAATTTTTTTTTTTTTATAATCGTAACTGTATGTAAATTACAACATTAAAAAAAAAAAATTATTTATTTATTTATTTTAAAAAAAATTAACATTATTAAAATGGATAATTATTTATTATTAGATCGTTAATTACTTATTTTACGTAAAAATTATTTCTTTTTCTTTATGTTTTCTTTAAAAAAAAAAAAAAGTATAAATTATAATATTTTATAAAATTAAAAACAAAACAAACAAAAAATTTCACCGCCTTCTTAAAAAAATTTATTTCAATATTATTATTCCACCACCACTTGTTGACTTTTATTTTCAAAATGGCGGATTAGCGTCGGTTCGTAAAATAATTTCTTTTCTTTTTTTTTAATTTATTTTATACAAAAAAAAAAATCGATAATTTATTTTTAACGATTAAAATTTCATCGGTATTGTAATAATAATAATAATTTTTTATCATATTAACTATTGTTTGATGGTTTTTTTTATCTATAATTTATATTTATTTTGACGAATCATTAATTATTATAATATCTAAAAATGAAAGAAAAAATTTTTATTGTTCTTTATTTGGAATGATTTATGATTAATGATTAACGATGATGATGGGGTGGTGGTAGTGGTGGTAATGATGATATGAAAAATCAATTATTAAAAAAATTTTTCTCTTTTATATAGGAAATTAATATTGTTTTATTAAAAAAGAAATTCTTTTGTTTATTAATTAACAATTTAATCTGTGTTACTAATAATTTTATTATTATTTTTAAAAAATGTATTTAAATGTTTTTTTTTTTTAATTTTAAATTACTAAAATCAGGTTGAAATCCTTTCTTAATATTTTTATTAACAACAAATAATAATAAAATCATATGTTTTTGTAGAATTATTTGTAAAAGTGTGTATTTCATAAATAAATTTTTGCAATATTCGAATGTTAATATTTAACAATAATGGAATATGAGTAAAAATTAATAATAATTTTACCTGTTGTTTCAGTATCAAGCTTATTTGGTAAATATTTAATTTTTATTACTTATTTGTTAATAATGTTTATTTTGGTATTAATAAATTATAACAGAATAAACATTTCGAAAAATTAAAAAAAAATTTTTTTTGGTTATAACACTTAATCTTTAAGTAAAACAAAGGGTAAGGTGAATTAAATTTTTTTTCTGTAACTTTCAAATAATTATTATTAACTTTAATCAAATTTTTTTTTATGTTTTTGCCTGAAAAAAAACTCGAGAAAGATAAATTAGGAAAAGAAAATGTCTGAGAGGAATCTGATTCATCATATAAAGTAAAGCGATTGTCAAAATAAACATTTTAAATATATTTGTTTTTATTTATTTGATTAATTGTACAATGATTCGATCAAAACTTTATAATTTTTTTTATATACAATTTTTTACAATTTCATTCTTTTTATACCGAAGGTAACTAACTAATGTCTTGAAAACTCAATCTGCAGATGACAAACATTATTCGTTGTTAATATACATGTTATAGATTCATTTGGACAATTTAAAAATGTCAAAACAATAAGAATCATTTATAATATGTGCATATATTAGATTGACAACTATGCAATTGCAGATTTTCGTTTTGTGTCAACCTTTTTTTTGTACCCAAGACGCCGCAAACGATTTTGAATGCACGTGTGTGACACGTTTAACTTCTTTGCAATGTTTCTTGCCGAACTACGTCGATCATCATCAATGACGGCTTTTATTTGGTCATCATCGACCACGACCGGACGCCCAGAGCGTTCTTTGTCTTTCAATGAAAAATCTCCAGAACGGAATTTTGCGAACCAGTTTTGACACTGGCGTTCTTTTAAGGCCTCATCACCGTACACGGCACACAATTTTTTATGGGCTTTCGAAGCATTGACACCCTTTCGAAAATAATAAAGCAAAATGTGGCGATAATGTTCGCTTTGACTCCCCATGTTCGAATTTCATTTCCTCCTCGCACACAATTCAACAATTAGGAAAATTTGGCAACGCCGCACGTCGGATTTGTTTCCTCGCGAATCGAATCGGCGGCGATGCCAGTTTCTCAAGTTACACGACCTCGTTTATTGCGGATCATTTATCATTATTATTATTATTATTATTATCATTTCCAATGGTTTTAATTTATTAATAATGATAAAGAGTGAGTTGTCATGATTATTAAAAAAAATTATTTTATTTTTGTTTTACACACGCACACACACACACAAATGAAAATAATAATTAATAAATACACGTGAAATAAATTTCGCACCGCGAAAAAGAGAGAGAGAGGAAAAAAATTTCGTTTTTTTTTCGTTTTTTCGACTCGTAAATTTTCTTTTTATCTTCGTTTAATTTTTCATTGTTTAATTTTTAGGTTATATAAAGTTTACAAAAAAAAAAAAAAACTTTTTTTATTTATTTAGGAGTACTTTAAATTGTTTCTTCTCTATTAATTATAAAAATTTTACTTATTGTATTCGATTAAATTTACGATGTCGAACTTTTTATGGGGCAAATGGAAAAATAAATTGTAACGGAAAAAAAAATGGCCGACTTTGAATATAAAAAAACGTTTATAATATAATCGGACGAAAAGGATAAAAGTTATGTGTAAAATATCAAAGGAAAAATGATATTAACGAATCATGAACGGTTTTTAAAAAGAAAAAGGTGTTTAATATATAGAAATTTCTAGAAAAATTTAAAAAAATTATATTCGTAATTATTTAGGAGACGACGTGTAGCACATTATTTAACATAATGGAACATTTTCTTATATATCGTGAATATAAGATTGTAATCTTATGAAAATCGTATTAACGGAAACGAGAGAATTTAAACGAAATCGTTTTCCATATTTTAACAAGAGAAACAAAGGAAAAATTAACCGCGAGCAAAAAGTTGGTTTTATAAATTTAAAAAAAAAAAAAAAATTTATTTTACCCCATGGTTAAATCAATTTTCAAACAACAGCAACATTTTCATAATTTTATTTTATAAATTTTTTTAAAGTATACCGTTTTGCATTAAAAAACCGTTGATAAAAAGTCATTGGCCGCCATTTTGAAAAAGAAAGTTTGACTGACAAAAGAAATATTTTCCGATTGGTTTTCTTCGATTATTTTTCTATCATACGTTGAAAATTATTGTTATTGATAAAATCAGTATCGAATCACGATAATGATGATGATAACGTTAAAATTGTTTTTTTTTTTTACCCCTGACAACTGGTAAATACTTACTACAACCCCTAGATGAGGGTGTAGACATTTTGTTCAAAGCTTTTTACTCTAGGAAAATAATGACGTAAGCAGTGAAATATTTAAAAGTTAACGACAGCCATCATTCAGGTACGATTGAATAATTTTTATATGATATTACAATATAAAAATGACAATTGATAACATATCGGTACAAGATTTGACATTTTGTTTGGCACAGATTTTTACTTACAACGGTTTCGAGAATCGATTGTAATCAATCATTCGAGATATCGAAGGAAAAATGCGTGGGTTTAGAAAAATGTTAAATGAGAACGTTATAATAAATTGCGTCGATTTAAAATTTAATGATTCTGAGAAGAAAGATAATTTTGTAAAAGAGAACCTGGTGATGTTGTTGATGATGACGAAAACGTCATCATTGACGACATTGTTGACGTCATCAGAAAATTCGTTTTAAGATAATTTAGAGGAAGATAATTTTATGAGGAAATGAAATAAATGTAAAATAATTATTTTTGAATATTTTAAAAATTTATTTTTAATTATATTTAACAAAAAAAATTGTTTTTTTTAAGTGTAAATTATTTCTTTTCGTAAAACTGTTGGAATGTGATCAAACAACTTTGATTCATAATTAATTCTTTTATGATTTTAAAATACAAATGAAAAAGTTAAACAAATCTCTTAAATTAAATAAAACAATAATAATTTGAATTTTTCTTTTTTTAAATTCTTTTATTGATGGTGAATATGATCGATGATTAAGTAAATTTTTATAAACATTTTTTTTTTTTTAAATTTTATTTAGATGCATTAATAATATACTTAAATTACTTAGGGTAATAATAAATTAATTTTTTTTTTTATTTATTTCTTTTTCTTCGATTTTCCACTTGATTCATTATTATAATCGGAATCCGGTCTAGGTTTTTGCCATTGTAAAGGTTTCCTTCTATACATTGGCCATGGTGGTACTGTCATCTTGAAAACAAAATTTATCATAAGTAATATATATTTTCGATAAAGTTTTTAATTTTTTTTTAAGTTTTACATACCAATACGGCTAAAACAAATCCAGCTCCTAATATGTACACAGTCTGTGAAAATTGTTGTATTATATAACCCCAAAGCAAACCGACAACTCCAAAGAGTGTTATTATAAATCTAGAATATTTTTCTGCTTTTCCTTGTCCATCAAAATCCTAAAAGAGATATTAATAAACATTTTCAATCAATTTTGTATTTCATTTTCAATTATTTATAAGGTATGTGAGAAATTTAACCTAATCATAAATTAATGATAAATAAATCATAATTTTCAACTGAGTAAGGGTAAATTACAAGGAATATTAATTAAAATAAATACCATATGAGTCGGTATGCTTTTAAACATATCCATATTTTTACAAAAAGAAATAAAAAAAAAAATTAAATAAATATTTTTTACACGTCAGTTTACTATACAGTATTATTTAAAGCAGCAGGTAAAGTACGTTCAGAAACAACGATGCTATTCGTCTCGTTGCCTTCAAGTCATTATAAAAATTAAGTGTGTGCGTAAACAGATCCGTGAGTTTAGTCATGGAATTTCGTGACGTAGTGTGACATTCCTAATAAAAAAAAAAGTAATTTTATAAAATGTTTTTATAATTTATTTTTTTATTTTTTAAATTTATATTACCGTAATAATTTGAACAAATTTAAAAAAAAAATAAGGTAATGTAGTTATTTAATTTAATCGATTTTATTTCACATTAAAAAAAAAAAAAAAAAAAAAAAGTAATACGATAAAATTTAAAATACGATATTAAATATAATATTAAAAATTGTTTGAATAGTTGAAGAGTAACAAAGAGATTTAATCATCAATTTTCGGGTGTCACCAGGCCTTGCACAACAAGTTTATCAGCTGTCAGCTTCAGACCTGCCTTATTTTTACATTTCGTTTTTACATATTATTTTTTTTCTTTTTTTTTTTTTTAAAGATAAAGTGTTTAGTGAAGTAATTTTCTTAAAAAAAATATATATCGTAGCTTTTTTTATTTTTAAAAATTTAATTAATGTTATATCTTATTTGTGAATTAATAATTTTATTGTGTGTACAGACTAAGGTTGCATAAAAATTTTAATATTAAAATCACATAATTTTAGATAAAATGGCGAGTAATTCATTAAAAGAATTAGATGAACAATTGGAAGAATTAGCAAAGTTAAAATTAAGTTGTGGTAATAAAAAAGCAGGGCCAGCAGTACCTCCAAAGCCTAAAAAAACTCCAGCAGTTCCTAAATCATGTTCAGTTGATGGTCCAAGCGTTCCAAGTTATAGTTCTCCATTATTAATATCAAACAGTGATAAGAATGGTCAGGTTTATTCTAATTTGCCTCAGGATGTTGGTGAGTCATTTTCATTTTAAATAATTTTTATGCTTATCAATGAGATATATCACACAAAACATGTTACAAGGATCATAAAACATTTTGTGTTTGTGTTTGTTTTTCTTAGAATTTTATTGAATCACGAATTTTATTTTGAAATAAATTTTTTTTTTTTTTCTTTAATTGTTATATTATCATTAATATTTACTCGAATCAATTAAATATTAATTATGTTATCAAATAATAATGATAATTAATATTAAATCAAATTTGTGTGTAATTTGAAACTTAGATAATGTTTAAAAATGTTTAAAGCTGTTTTTTTTTTATTTTTTATTTGACGATATCATTTACAAATTTTTTTTTTTTTTTTCTGTTTTAGGTGGCACAGGAATAAAAAATTCATCGAATGTTATTTATTCAAATCTTCCTCAACCTAGCAAACAATCTAATTTTAACAATGCATCTTCATATCCAAACAATCCAATTTATAGCAATATTCAAACTTATAGCAATGGTAAGATAACAAACGTTTTTTTTTTTTTTTTGTTCTCGTAAACAACTGTTGATAATGTTAGCTTTTTTAGATTTTGATACCAAAAATGTCCCTTTTGGTTGATAAACATTAACGATTGTTGTTGCAACACAAAAATTCTTTCACATTTTTTAATCGAAATCGACTTGGGTTTATAATATTTCTATAAATTTTTATTTTTTAGTCGGAATTGACGATTTGCCACCTCCTCCACCAGAACCTGTCGAATATTCAAATGTTCCTGGAGATTTTCCTCCTCCTCCTTCACCAGTGTCATCAAGTTATAGTGAATTGAGAAGAGCAACTTATCATGATAATCCTTCAAATCATTCAAATTTCAATGCCGATTATGGAGTCTATGGAACAAGCTCGCAAGTAATTCCATTTTTTTTATTTGTGTTTACAATAAAATATCATGTGATGATAATGTTAAAACTTATCAACAGGCATCGACATATGAATCAATTTATGAACCAATTTGTCCAAGATCTCCATCACAAGCATCAAATTATTCTTTATATGCTCCATATGTGTCTGGAAGTCAAGGGAATAAGGAAAAACAAGTAAACGCATTGACTAATTTACTCGTGCAAAGCATGGATGGTTCTCCAGACGAAGATATATTGGGAGTTTGCGAAAAGTGCAAGGAATATGTAATAAATGAAGGAAGCGGTTGCGTTGCCATGGAAAAAGTTTACCACATAACTTGTTTTACATGCCATCAGTGTAAAATACAACTTCAGGGAAAACCATTTTTCGCATTAGAAGGAAAACCATATTGCGAACAGGATTATTTGGTAAGCCAACAACAAAAACGTGGATTTGTTCTCTTTTTATTATTTTCAATTCATGATTTTTTTTCTTTCAGAATACTTTAGAAAAATGTTCGGTTTGCATGAAACCAATTTTAGATAGAATATTAAGAGCAACAGGTAAACCATATCATCCGAAATGTTTTACTTGCGTCGTTTGTGGCAGGAGTTTAGATGGTATACCATTCACTGTTGATGCCGTCAATCAAATTCATTGCATAACGGATTTTCACAAGTGAGTACTTTTGAAATTTCTCAATAAATTTGAAAAGAGAGAGAGAGAGAAAAAAAAAGGAACAAACACGGGTCGAGAACGTTTAATAATAATAATAATGATAATAATTTTGTAGAAAATTCGCACCGAGATGTTGCGTTTGTAAATTACCAATAATGCCGGAACAAGGAGAACAAGAAACGGTTAGAGTCGTAGCACTCGATAGAAGTTTTCACGTTTCCTGTTATAAATGCGAGGTAAACAATTATTATTATTATTACTACGAGATGGCGGTCGAACCTGAAAAAAATAACATAAAATTTTTTTCAGGATTGCGGTTTAGTATTATCAAGCGAAGCACAAGGAAGGGGTTGTTACCCGTTGGACGATCACGTACTTTGCAAATCGTGTAATGCAAAAAGAATACAAACTCTAACATTACCACCTCAAACTACGGATTTATAAAGGAAAAATAATGGGGGATGGGGAGGGGGAGGAAAGGGGGAAAGAGAGGGATGCCAATTGATATAATTGATATATATATATATTTAGTAGTTGTAATGATAATGATGATCCCGCGGGAGGGGGGGGAAATGTATTCCGAATCAAACGCACGAACAAAGTCGCGACGAAATACGTTAATCATAATCCCATAAAATCGTGTTTATTATTATTATTATTATTATTATACGTGGAAAGGAAACGGGGAGGGGGCGGGAAATAAAACAGGAGGGGGAGGAAGGGGGGGGAAAAATAAAATAATAGATAAAGAAATTTTTTAATTTTCTCCTTGTATTTTTAAATACAGTTTTTATAAAATATCGAATAAATTATTATCATTATTATTATTATCATTATTACAAATTTTAATTAAATGCATTAATTTAATTTAATTTAATTTAAACAATCGAATCGTCGTAAATGTGTAATTTTTTTACTCTTACACATCATCATCATCATCTAGATTATTTATCCCTATTACAGGAATCGATACTAAATCGTTTCGCGATGATGATGATGATGATGGCGATGACGTAATTAGTACGTTTTCTTTTTTCTCATTTCATTTTCCATTTTCTAAAATTTGAAGGAGTCTTTGTTTCGTTTTTCTACTGCTTTGACACGCGCAATTTATCAACGCTTCCAATTGTTTGCTTGTGTATTCCTTCAAAAAAATCAAATTTATTTATTAAAAAGACAGAGAGAGCTCATAATTACAGGGGAGAGAGAGTGAGAGAGATAGAGAGAGATAGATAGATTAATAATAATAATTACAGTCGTGTGTTGTTTTATCCATTCTTCCAAATTATTCTCTTGTAAATAATAAGCTTTCACGTAGAGTTCGACATATTCCTTGTTAGGTATCGGACGAAGAGTCGTTAATTTTTCCAATTTGCAAACGAATTGAGCATAATCTAATTGCATGAGAGCTCTACCGCCATTGGAACATTTTTTAACGTTCGAAAACCTGTTGAAAAAAAAAAAAATTACAATTTATACACCTTATTTTCATATTAAAAAAAAAAACGAAGAGGAGCCATAGTATTACCCTTCGACCAATGCATTATTAACTATGTGAACAACGTTTTCCCATAAAACGTTATAAGCTTCCACGGGTACGTTTATGTCCAAACTATCCAATTTCTTCGAAAATATTTCCAAATCCTTTTTCGAATAGAAAACAAAATTTATTAACAACAATTAAAAAAAAAAAAAAAAAAAAAAATGGAAGAAAACTCACGTTAACAATTTTATCAACGTACGAACTATGTTGACTCATGACTTCTTTCACTTCGAAATTAACCCTTGACATTTCTTTTAATATTTGATTCATGTCGATTATACGACCGGAAACGCACATGTAACTCGGTCTCCTAACACCGGAAACGGAAGCAACAGTCTGAAAATTTCAATAAGAAAATCCTTTGCATTCTTCCTTTAATCTTTCTTCCAATTCAAATGAACGAAATTTACGAACGGGGACAAACTGGAATTGAGGAATTTGCGTGACGTAAGTCAAAGGAGTCAAAGGAAAAGAGAGAGAGAAAGGAAGAGAGAGAGAAAACTAACAACTTTATTCGTGTGACTTTCATTTTAGTATTATTATAGGAAGGACTTAAAACACAACCTGTAAGTAAAAATGTTGTAAAAGATGTTTTTTTTCATCCGGTACCAAATGCATTAAGTAGGGTTGTATGTAATCGAATTGAGAACCCAAAAATGCCAAACTTTCCACCGCAACTATCCTCTCCGTTAGTCCGAATAAATTGTCTTTGTTACTCAAATCAACCATTTCGGATATTCTCGAAGGCACCATCTGCAATTTTGTCACAATTAGCACTCGCTACTCTTTATTCAAATCAATCTGGTACCCACTTACTTACTTTTGTTCTTATATCGAAATTATTACTTTCAATTTCTTCAACGGTAACAATTAATTCATCTAATCTTTTTAATGTTGTTTCAAGTTTAAAACTCAACATTGTCGCACTTTTAACAAGCTTTAAATAATAATAATAATGATAATCAACTTCAATTAAATCATTTTAATATTAATTTATAATTTAAATATATATACGACTCACTAAATCTTTGGTGAAAAAATGATAAACGTTATAAAGATAATAATCGAATAATTGACACATTGATAATATAACATCCAATGCAATGGGTTTAAGAAGTTTACACATTTGTAAATATTCACCGCAAAGTCTTAAAACTGTGAGCGTAGTATTTGCCACAATCGGACATGTTATTTTCCCTCGTGTGTTTTTTTACTTTTATTCGTACCCTAATTAAATAAATTTGATTGGTTAATCTTTGTTTTTTTTAAAATTACAATTAATTAATTTATGATTAACCTGATTCTAATGGTGGACCATCTTCGACGTAATCTTTTTTCAATTCGTCAATTTCCGAATCTTCGGACGTGTCAGACATGTATTCGGGTATTCTTTCCTGTTTACAAAAAATAAATACGTAAATATCTTTTCTTTTTAAATAAAAAAGGCATTAATGAAAAAAGGAAAATGGAAAAAAATTACTCCGTATGTATTAAGAATATCTTCTTCGTAGTAACTTTCGTCTATATTCGAATCGAATGGCGTTTCGCCGCCATCTTGAAACCTAATAAAATAATTATTATTGAGATAACTGCTTCCATCCGTTGATAAATTAGAAGAAGAATTATTAATTGGGTCATTTTCTGACGTTTCCGATGTCGAGGGTTTATGCGATTTTGACTTTCTATGATTTTCTATCGTGTGTCTAAGAGATTTAAATTCCTAAAAATAAAAAATACCATTTTTGTCGTTACAAACAAAAGGAAGGAAATTCCCTCCCCCCCTTTTTTTTTTTTTAAGGCAATTTACCTGTAAATGAGTTAAATTAAATTTTGATCGTACGGGACACTGAGTCCAAGATTCATTTTCTAAAAATATTCTAAGTTCTTCTAATTTACTCGCGTGATAATTTTCAAAATATTTTATTGTTAATTGTCTCATTGAATTTTCCAATTCCGAACTGTTTGAATTGCAAAACTCATCACCAACTTCTATCAATCTGTCAACAATATTATTAATTAACGATTTACAAAAAAGAGGTTTTAATTCAAGGGAATATCTCATACCTGCGTACCAAACCTAAAACCACCAACAATTCGTCAAATTTATAATCGGCAAAATCGTGGGCGGTGAGAAACAATGATATTCTATTTTGTATATCATTCCATAATCTTTTTAATCCAGTTTCTAATTTTTGTTTAACATATTGTTTATTAAGTGTTATTTCAATATCTTTCGATGGAATCCCTGTTGAAAAATTTAATTAATAATTATTATTTATAATTTTTTAAAATCAAACAAAAAAAAAAAAATGATCAAGTAATAAAATCCACCTGTTTCTAAATTTTCTTTATCATGAGATTGATGCCAGTGATAAATTTGATAATATGAATTTAGTATGTGCCAAAGATTTTGACAGAGAGATTGTAGACAAGGAATAAATTTCGACAGTGGAACCAACTAGAAATAAAATATAATAATAATAATAATTTTTAATATAAAAAAATTAATAACGAATGAGATGAATTCGATATTAAAAATTATAATTTTTTTTTTATTTTGTTTACTTTACACAATTGTTCAAATTGTTTTTTCAAATTTGCATCTGTTTGAGCAAATTTATGTACAATTTTGAACATGGCACTGTGTATTTCAGATGTAAAATGCATAAGTAATTGATCCATAACTGTTTGACTTTTATCAAGAAGATTATATGCTTCTTGAAGTTTACTGTAAATACTTAAATTAAATTTTCTACATATCTGAAAACAAATAAATTATTTTGTAATTAAAATATGATAAGTAAAAAAAACAAGTTGTTGTATTATTATTATTAATAATAATTACTTTATTTAAAGCTACATCTAATTGCTCTTCAGTCATGTATAATGTATCTTGAAGTTTACAATTTAATTGAGCAACACATTTAAAATGATTAAAATTTGATGCTGCTATTTGACATTCCAATAATAAATTAATGGCACCAGGATAATTTTCTTCTAAAAGTAATTCTTGCAGTCTTTCATCCGTTTTTTGCTAAACACACACACACAATAAAGATAACTTTATAGATTTTTTTTCATTTTAAATAAATAAATAAAAAATAAAGATAAAAAAAAATAAATATTTTAAGTACTTCAACACACCAATGTTTTGATTGTTTTTAAATTTTTTAATAATTGATAAATTATTTGTTTCCTTTTATAATTTGCCAATATACCCAAACTGGCAGTCGTAAATTGTTGTTTCGCTAAACTCAAATGTTCTCTACTTTCTCTACATATAGCCAAAGCGACTCCGATATCTTTAACTGTTTGAAATATTTTACCCAATTCTTCTTTACACTGTGATTCTTTTTCCAATATTAATTGAAGCATTTTTTTTGACACAACACCATGTTGACGATATAAAACATTTAAACTTTTTTTTATGTCTCCGCAATCAAGGCCTTCGGGAAGTTTCTAAATGTAATTATTTATCAAATTGAATAATTAATTCAAATGACTTTCCTACCATAAATTATACAACCCACCTTTAATTGATAATGTTGTGCATCAAAACAATCCTCGCTGTTAAAATAACAATCATCGATATTTTTTAATATTTCCTCGTCTTCAATTATTTCTTCTTCGATTTCGGGTTCGTTTCTCGTCACTCCAATATTTCTTAAT